GCTAAACACACCTCCAGTTGTTGTCACCCTGACAGTCACTATATGGTACTTCTGCAGTCAGAACTAAGTGAAACTCAGTTCTTGATATTCATGTGGATGTTGAATGTTCAAAGCTTCTTACAGACCACATATGGCTGCTAGAAAAAAAGGGGGTGCCAGCAGACACAGGGCTAAAAATGCATTTATAAAAGTGTAGCTTTAACCAGAGCAGCCAGTGATTGGCAAAGAGTGTCATCTGATCACTTTCAGGCAATCACAGCCATCCATCGGGCCCAAGCTGTGGGCATCCAGGGACTCTCATTCAATTCAAAAACTGTTTAACACTGAATAGAAGGAAGGCAACAGTGGACCTTAGGCGATAAAACCACCTCAATGTGGTGGAATTTTAGTTTTTCTGTTCAAGTTCTTCAGTTAAATTTGGTTTATACTTACTAGATAAAAAGAGAATGCAAGATCTTTAGAATAAAAAAAAAATCCTTTGCTAAAAGTGTTCCCTTTGGACACAAGCCAAAAGGAAACAAATGTGTATATATCACCAGAGGTGTATGATAAAACAATACAACCTGTTTATAAATCACAGAATACAATATGCAGATGTATGCCTAGGGAAAAAAGAAGATATAGTGCAATACAATCAACACCAGAATAGGGGTAGGGGGTGGTAGAAAATTCAGGCGTGTCTCCTTCTATAATAGGGTACCCAGTATAATAGGCATGCCCTATTATAGAAGAAGACACGCTTGAATTTTCGACCACCACCTACTCCTATTCTGGTATTGATTGTATTGCACTATATCTTCTTTTTTTTTTTTTCCTAGACATACATCTGCATATTGTATTCTACGATTTATATACAGGTTGTATTGTTTTATCATACACATCTGGTGATATATACACATTTGTTTCCTTTTGGCTTTCTTTGTATTTATAGTTATAACTGAGTGTCCAAAGGGAACACTTTTACCAAAGGATTTCTCTGTGTTTTCAGACCAAATAGTGATTAGTTACTTTGTTTGTACCACCAATATGAGACAAATATCTCAGATATTATGTCTAAGATTCAAGAAAACAACACATGATCACATAAAAATATTCATTTTGTTTGCCCATAATTAAAAGCTTTTTGTCTTCTTGCAGCTTACAATTGCAGAAAGCTTCAGTCTCTACATTAATTACTTAGTCCGGATCTTCATTTAGTTTTTTTATTCTCCTTTTTAATCCCCTTACATTGCAACACAGTTTGCACAGCATCTGCAGGATTTTTGAAAACAGGTACTGAATCAAATACGTGTCCATGTCATCTTAAGGCTTATTCACTAAACAGTGAATTATAGCACATTGACAAAAATAAACTAAGCAAAACCAGTCACGCAAGAACAGAAATTCTGATTAATATGAATAATTTTCTCAAAATATATTAGTTTTCTCAACCGCAACCCTCTGCTTAGCGAATAAGACACATAAAAGAACCCCATAAAAAACAGCAACTCATATATACATAAAAATTTTTTTTGAGGAGATATGATAAAATAAACATGTTAAAAGTAGAAAATATCAATTTTATTATTTTATATGAAGCATAAGTTTCAGTGCTTCACATCCCTCTATGAATTTCACATTGAAAATGTATACATAAATACAAACATTGCTTCCAGCATCGTATTCTATACCATGCTACTCTCTATAGATACAGAAGAAGTAATTTATTAAAGAGCAATGATAATGATATTGTTTGCTTACCGTTAAGGCTACTCCTGTCAATCAAATTTGTGTCTGGCGGCCAATATCCTCCATCTCCATGACGACCTGTTACAGGAAATGGACGGTATTAAAAGAGTAAATAGGTATTATTTTCACTGTCATCTTGCTGCAACGGCTAATAATAGTTCATATGCAATTTGCGTCCATATTTTTGAAGACAGTTTTTGCACAATGTCTTCACATTGTAACTTGGTAGAAGGTTTTTTTTTCTCTCTCACATTTGTATAACTAGTGTAACATTTTTACTTTAGTGCATTTAATGTCCGTAATCTATGCCATGTGCCAGTATACAAATTATGTCTGTTCTCTTATAATGCCTTATCAAAGCATGGTTGTAAATAGTTATAGCAATTAACTGGTATAAAAATGCATTGGTAAAGGTGAAGTACATTTTTGGGAATAACTGAAATAAACAAAATAGTCTGTTGTATATCACATACCATCGAGGTTTAAATTGTACGAAATATAAGTAAAAAAAAAAAAAAAATTTCACTATGAAAAATTTAAAAAAGTATTCCAAATAAGTTCTGCCCTTTGATTTCCCCCAAAATGATTGTGGGCCCCAAGCACTTTTAGAAAGGGTGCCTGTTCAAAGATATCATCAAAGTAGTTAAAAATAATTCCTGATAAGAAAAAAAGTCTATGGTACAGTTCATGCTCCAAAAAAACCTTTCATTAAAGTTAAATAAAAAAGTGCGTATAAAATGTTTCAGGTTTAGATCCAGCAGTGGACCCATACCAAAAAGTTATAAATAAATCGGTTCATGGCTGCAAAATATATAGATTTATTTATTCTATATTTCACTCCTGTTATTTTAAACCAGAGATATAGCCTCCTCACAGAAATTTTGCACCAAGTTAAAAATAAAACAGATCACTATCATAAACATCCCACCACAATATACTTCTGCTATCCTACATGCATACTCTCCCACCTCACTGGCATATTCTCCCACGAGTGAATAGCTTCAATAAGCCATAAATACTATCTGTTAATCACAGAATAACAGCATCTGAAGGAACACATTGTCAATCACTGTTAGATCTCGTATTTTTGCATTATGGGCATGTAACACTCCCAGACCCTTCTAAAGATGCATTTTTATCAGAATTTGCATAAAATTACTATATCTAGGAATGCACTCAATTGAAGTGCTTTGAGGATTGAATTTCATGTGCTGCCATGTAAAAAACACACACTACACCAATTCCCCCCAGAGATGCTAATATAGTTCTTAAATTGCGCAAAGACATATAATTTGACTTTGTGCTTAATGGGGCGTCACTTGCAGAATTGAAATGTTGTCTGTTAAATTGTAAATAAATGTGTAAGCAGTACATTAATGCTTTATTTTGTGATCCTAAATTTTACATCTCAACACAATATGAGATGTTTCCTGCCATAAATGGTATAATTTGTTTGAGAAACCTTCTTTGCCTCTAAATATCCCCTTTCTATAACTGAATATACAGTTATAGAATTGGTAACAATAATAATAATTTCAAGATCTTTTCAGTGACAGAATGGGTGAGGATTCAACACTTGCTAGCTTTTTAAACAACATGACAGAATTGATCATGTATTAAGTGATAAATCTAATACATAATCTTTTCTCTCTGCATTCAAAGTTCTGCAGTGATGGTTCCTGTCTGACAGTTCCTTTCTGCATTAAAATTGCCTTTATTATCTCAAATTGTGACAGTACATCACATCTGCACTGTTTGCCCAGATCCAGATGTTCTTGTCAGAAACAAGAAGTCTAATCTCATATTATATTACCATTGTAGAAGGTCATATAAATCATTAGAAAGCTTTAATGTTCTTAGATTTGCAAATTTAAGCACTTCATATGAGTTCAACAGCAAGAATTATTAGCCAACAACAAAATGCTTTAAAGGGTCACTCAAAGCACCAAAGCAATTACAGCTAAATAAAGGGACACTAAAGTCACCAAAAACAACTTGTTGGCATTTTTTTTGTGTATAGATTGAGCTCCTGTAGCCCCACTGCTCAGTTATCTACCATTTAGGAGTTAAAATCACTTTTGTTTCTCTCCATGCAGACCTAGCCACACCTTCTCCAAATCCAAATATTAATCTGATGTTAACTTACTTTAGAAGCTCTTTTATCTCTATTTTGTAAATTGAACATTTATCACACACAGGAGGCTCTTGCAAGATCTATCAGGCTATGAACAATGCAGGCAATGAGAAATTCTATATTAAACAGACTGTGCAATACATGATATTTAAACATTAGATATCACTTAAGAGGAAGTGTTTAGCAAGGCTGTGTAAATCACATGAGGTGTAAGTAGGGCTGCATAAACAAAGTTATTTGCCTCCTAAATGGCAGAGAATTGAGCAGTGAGACTACAGAGGTATAATCTATAGGTACAAACTGCTTCATTAAGCTAAAGTTGTTTTGGTGACTATAGTGTCCGTTTAAGTGGTTTTGGTGGATAGATCATGCCCTTGTAGTCATTGCTTAATTAGCTGTCATTTTGAGATAAATTACTTTATTTCTGCAGTCCAAACCACACCTCCTGAAATGTGCCTCACACAGCCTCTCTACATACTTCCTGACAAACCAGTTCATTTGGAACCTATGTTACCATTCAGTCAATATACAGAATGCTTACTTCTTGCTTTAGTAATTCCCTACAAGTGCCTGCAAATATCAGTGCTAGCAGCCACCTGTGTGAGATAAAAGTTATCACACAAAGCTTCACAAGGAAGAAACAAGAAAGCAAGAGGAACATTTGGGACCTATTAAAATATAATAGAAACATAGAAACATAGAAACATAGAATGTGACGGCAGATAAGAACCATTCGGCCCATCTAGTCTGCCCAATTTTCTAAATACTTTCATTAGTCCCTAGCCTTATCTTATAGTTAGGATAGCCTTATGCCTATCCCACGCATGCTTAAACTCCTTTACTGTGTTAACCTCTACCACTTCAGCTGGAAGGCTATTCCATGCATCCACTACCCTCTCAGTAAAGTAATACTTCCTGATATTATTTTTAAACCTTTGTCCCTCTAATTTAAGACTATGTCCTCTTGTTGTGGTAGTTTTTCTTCTTTTAAATATAGTCTCCTCCTTTACTGTGTTGATTCCCTTTATATATTTAAATGTTTCTATCATATCCCCCCTGTCTCGTCTTTCCTCCAAGCTATACATGTTAAGATCCTTTAACCTTTCCTGGTAAGTTTTATCCCGCAATCCATGAAAAAAAAAATATGGAACGCTTCACGAATTTGCGTGTCATCCTTGCGCAGGGGCCATGCTAATCTTCTCTGTGAATAATAATGATTATTTTATTTAATTTCTATAATTTGTAAAATATTTAATTAAATAATATTCTATAATGTTTTAACTAAAGTCTATTTCAATGTATGTTATTCATAGCTTCCAAATGTACTATTAAAAGCATTTGATTGGACAATATCCAGCATGAATAAAGATATGTGGAGAGTGTACCAGCTCAGGTACAGAACTGGAAGAAAAAGTAGAACTTTAGCGAGTGGAGTCATTTAGAAAAATAATTTTGAAAAATGAATCAATTCTTATATTTTATTTCAAATGCCTTGTTCGAGTGCATTAAAAATATGCAGTTTTAAATTTAGACCTTCCATTTAAAGCTTTACCCACTCATCTTGATCCAAAGATTGTTCTGAAGCACTGTCATTGTGTCGGATTAAATGAAAATAGTATATAGCACAATAAAAAGAAAAATGCCTAAGATATGCAACAAACACTTAGTACAACCTTTGTTTAAATTAAACCAAAACACTGTCTTAAAAAGGTGGGTGAGATTTAGAAATTATTTCAAACGATGATCTGGAAATTTAATCTATAACCCATGAAAGGGTGCTTTGGAAACTTGGTAATTACTCTGAGCTTAATTATACTTAATGTAAATTATTCAGAAGAGCTGGGGGAGAGACAAAAATTTATTTCATACAAAGAAGCTTGACATTTTAATTGGTCCTTCAGAAAAGAGACAAAACAATTTCATCTCAAGAAAATTTACATCTTTGCCATCAAGGCAGTGGCAGTTTCAGCCCAGCAGAACTTCATTAACAAGATTAATTAGCAAGTCGGTGTCTGCCTCATCAGGTGTGCGGTCCAGGTGAAAAGCAATAGGCACTGTGAATACTGACATGATTCCCGGTGAGAATGGTAGTGATTTTCTAAATATAATCATGACAGAATGAGGCCACTGTACCTTGGTCATTAGCCATTTTGTCAGGGTGTTCCACTACAAAAGAAAAAGAAAGACATTATCATTACATTATGACAGCTTTTCATAAAAGGGTTGACATTCCAAATCAGCAATTTTGCTAGCAGGTTTCATACCAAGAGGCAGCTTGAGTATGCATTAGACAGGATGAAACAATACATTTCGCTATTTCTCTTTTTCAAAGAGTGTTGATGTAGGATCATAGTCATTTCAATCACACTGAAAAGCCATCACAGGTCACAGCAGGAATAAGCTAACCAACTAGCTTATCCAATGAGTTCTAGATAAGGTGAAAAGGAGCTCTACGACATTTGTGCTTTTGATATGTATCATCTGGTATGCATGAGAAAATAATGTGTATTCTGTAACCATTCATATCCCATTCAACAAAATCATAGGAAATTAAAGATACATAAATACTGAGAAAGAATGTCACCTGTAAATAGTTATAATAAGTAACCAAAAATACCTTCTACAATAGTGAAGCAAATTACTGTACATATGTACGCAGTACGTACATTCCATTTAGTTCCACACCTTCACTGATGACCTTTGACAGCCCTCTACACATCTCTCATCTCTACAATGCACTAGTAATTTCCCAATCCACCCAACCAGATATTTATTTTACTTTCCAGATATTTTTAAAGGTAATTTCAAACCCACTTCTTTAGGGATTTTTTAGGGGAAGTCAGTGACTAACTCCCCTTTATGTAGAAGTCTACCATTACTTCTCCATATCCACTTTCTCTACTGCATGGGCTAAACCTAATTTGCCAATTTATTCAATAGTTTGTTTTTTATATGTCTGGTGACATAATCTTGATACATGGACGGGACAAGTTAATCTGTTGTACTTTTCTAACTTATCTTATATGTACAGTGGCACTTCTTTTAAATTAAATATCAAGATATACAAAAGGGAACACAATATGCAACAGCACCCAATAGACATTAGCACAGGTAGTAAAGAAAATTGGGGGAGTTTAAGTAATCAAGCCATGATGAATCATTCATTGGTCCTGGTGGGGTCATGGCGTAGGCGGTATTTTGACAGGGCCACAGACTGCCTATTTGCATATATATAGCGATTACTGGTATATATATATGTAGTTCCGAGCCCTGCTAACTTGTCCTATGAAGACGGGTTCGAGAAGTCTAATCTTCCCCTCCTGCAGCTTCATGTCCTCTCCTCTCATGAGCATTGCTGCAGGTTGCCTTGACAATGCCCTGGCATTTATTACGTGCCATATGGAGCGCTCCCATGGCAACCCGCGGCAATGCTCAGAGGGGAGGACATGAAGCTACAGGAGGGGAAGACTAGACTTATTGGCACTCTCTTCAAAGGACAAAAACCTTGTGCCACTGGACAACCAGGTACTATTGAGACTCCCTCCCTGGCCTATATATAAAAAAAAAACTGTTCACAGCCCCTGTCCAACCTAAACATTGCACACACTGCACACACTACATGCACTAGACAAACACTGCATCCATTACACACAGACACTGCTTTCAAAACACACGCACTGCATCCACTACACACAGACTCTGCATCCACTACACACAGACACTGCATCCACTACACACACTCTGCATCCTCTATACACACACACACAATGCATTCACTACACACACTATATCCTCTACACACACACTGCATTCACAATACACACTGCATAACATAATGGATGTGCGCATGGTTTTAGTTGGGGGAGGGGAGAGGCAGCATTTCATCCTTGATCCCAGGCAGCTCAATATCTTGGGCAGGCCCTGAAATCACTTATTGACAAGAAAGGAGCTTAGTAAAAATATACACAACTGAAATCAGGAATGAAAAACAGGAAAAGATAATTACCAGACCTAGATCAGAAAAGTATGATACAGTAACACTGCAAAGCAAATTCACTAACATAATAAGATCTGTGCAAAGCCTGTTATGTATTATAAAGTGCAGATCTATTAAACCGAGCCAGATCTCAATTTAGAGCCTCCTGGGTGTGAGATATATAACAGACAGAAAATAAACTGGACTTTGACATCATTTCCAAGTGTAGATATAAAGAAGCTGGACATTGTATGATGATCATTAAGACATAATATAGTGTTAAATAATAAAGGGTGCATTCCATCAATACATGTAATTAATAGCCAAACTGTGATTAAAACAACTTTGATAATTTTTCTAAATCAGCTATTTAAACCTAAATTTTACAGTTCAGTTTTCAATTCGCTGCAACGCAGTGTTTCGTTAATAAACCCTTCAACATTTAAAATAAAATACATCACATTGATTTATTCAATATTAAAATACTCATAATTACGTTTCTACTACTTGTAGTATATTTACAAGAACATCTGATAGTGATCACCGTAGTAGTCTGACTTAAATTATTAGTAGTCTGACTTAAATTATTTAAACAGCTCAAAGTGTCAAAGGCTATTCAGACATAAAAAATGAATATCAGTGAAATAAAGCTAGTTATTATAATTACTTTGTATAAACTGCAAACTTTCTTTGGCAATACAAATAAAGCCAGAGCAAAATTTCAAACCTTTTGCATAAGCATTTTAAATTGTTTTATGTTTTAATGGCTAATATGGCTAAGGAAAAATGGTGCTAATAATTTTATTTTATTCTCAACAAGTCCTTTTAAAATCTCTATTGACCTTCAGTCAATGTAAGTTATTGCTGATCCAATCACATACAGCTATATTCAGCAACAGATCAACAAATGCATATCCTACAATAAAGTATATTTGATTTAGCACCTTAAAGGGACGTTATAGTCACCAGAACAACGACAGCTCAATGTAATTGTTCTAGTGTCTATAGCCTGTCCCTGCAATCTTTTAATGTAAACACTGCCGTAACACACTCCTCTAGTTGCAGTTACTCAGACGGCCACTAGAGGTTCTTCCTCTGTCATTCACTGAAAGGTGCTTCCTCTGGCATTCTGTGTCTCCATGTTCATTACATCTCTATCAGGAGATTATGATTGGCACTGTGTTGTATTTTGCCACACATGCTGAACACCTTCACAATGCTTTCCTACTGGAAATATGGTATTGGCTGAAATTACCCAGTTTGATGATCTCAGTCATGGAGGCAGAACCAAGGCAGGGCCAGCCGCAGTGAGGCCAGTACGGCGTGGGAGAAAAGGTGAGTAAAGGGGGTCCAGGGACATTTATTAACAGTTATTTTACCACTATAGTGTCAGGAATACATGTCTGTTTTCCTGACACAATAGCGTTCCTTTGATATGACATAATAGAAAGGCATCAAGCAAGCATAAACACTATTATATAATGATTATATATTCAAACAAGCAAATAAAACAATATTAACACTTGAATATATAATGTCTAATGTAACAAGATCAACATCTATTCATAAATGTTTCTCACTGTGGGTCATTGATAAAAAAATGTACGTCTAAATAGCCTTTGATAAAGCACTGTATATTTAGAACTATTTAAATAATTTCAGTCAGATTATTATAGTAATTACTATCTTATTTTCTTGTAAAATATACCATAGTGTAAACTTTCATATGACAAATTGACATTGAGTTAAATTTTATATATACAAGCACAAATAAATTGTTCTAGACTTGTTTAATAAATTCATTTCCTCTATGTAACATATATTTCGGCACAATAATCAGTTATCAGACATTAACATAGGTTATGTTAAGTAGTTAGGTCCCTTACGCAGAGACAACACTTAATATGCAGCAAAATAGATCATTCTAGAATGAAACAACACAAATATTGACATTTCTGCGTCAAAGACAGCGGAGGTGATGGATAATGCACTCTAGGTCATCAAGTTATATTCTGCGATTATACTTAATCTCATTACTAGGATGAAATTATACATCATTAAACAGGAGGGTTCATGTACATGAAATGTGTCAGGGTGGTGGAACATTGATTATGTTTAATTAAATAATATGATCAATTCTCATATATAAAAGCTTATGTTAAACTTGAATTTAATTTACATGTTAAGAGAATCTAAAGAAATATTGTTAAGAACATGCCAACATTTTACTGAACTTACATTCTATAGATGTATGCTTTTTAATATCCCTATA